ATTTATCAAGTTGACCTGAAATTATGTGACTGCCATAGTTATTATGAGTCAGAATCAACTTGATGGCAGTGAGGGGAGTGTTTTGGATCCTTAGAAAAGTAGATTAGCAGACCTTTCTTCTGTGGTGCTGCTGTTTGGTGGATTTGACCTGCTAGTACAGGTACCTAATCGTAGGTTGCTAACTGGGACTGTCTGCTCCTGTCAAACATGACACTCTTGGCCACTTAATACTGGGTCACCATGAGTCAGAATGGATTCCATGGCAGGGATTTTATTACTGCTGATTTTACATAGGAGCCTTGGTGGCTTAGTGGAGTATGCGTTCGGCTGTTAAATGTGAAGTCAGCAGTTTGAAACTACCAGGCGCTTCAAGGGAGGAAGATGTGCTTTCTAACTCTTGTACAGATCTGTAGTCTTGGAAACCCACAGGGGCGGCTCTCCTCTGTCATATAGGGTTGCTAGGGGTCAGTCAACTGGATGGTCGTGAGTTTGTTTCTTCTGGTGATTTTGTTATCCTGTGCTGTACAGGGTCAGGGTGGTGCCAACGTTCATGTGGTTAGCTGCTAACTGAAGGGTTGACAGTCTGAGCCCACCTGGTGATCTATGTTTAAAAACGTAGCCATTGAAAACCCTAGTAAGCACAGCTCTATCTGACATACATGAGGTCACTGTGATAGCAACTGGTGGTGTGTGCTCCACAGTGATAGGCATTTCTGCCACATCACTCTCCATTGGATCCACTTTACATATGGTGTTTAGAGATGTAACTCAAGGTCAAGTACCTAACAATTTTCCCTTGTAACTAACAATCTATGTGTCCCAATTTGTAGAACTGAGATTTAATGACAGGTCAGACCTAGACAGTGGGGTAATCTACCATATGTTTCTCCCTGATAATTAATTACAAGCTCATTATTTTGAGAGCCAAAGTAATTTTCCAGATGGTAAACATGAAGGTCCCTTACATCTATCTTATATTCTGCCCCTTCATGGAAGAAAAGGCCTGGAGTGTTGCTTCCATATATATTCCATATGTATTCTATCTACTTAGAATATTGTTTAGACTCCATGAGACTCTAACTCCAAAGCCAAACCCACTGACATAGAGTTGATTCCAATGCATAACAATTATGAAGCACAGAGTAGAACGGTCCTTTTAGGTTTCTGAGACTTTAATTCTTTATGGGAATAGACAGCCTCATCTTTATCCCTACAAGTGGCTGGTGGGTTTGAACTACTGACCTTTCAGTTGGCAGCCCAATGCATAATCCACCATAACACCAGGATTCTTTCAGGAGACTATAAGTACACAAAAGTTGAATATATTTCTGAGATTACATGAAAGGATATATATTTTGAGTCTAGAAATGATGGTGTGGGTGATTATATGCATATATCTCAGTAGGTAATGACTTAATAACTAAAGAAAAGAAACAAACCAAACTCATGGTCATCAAGTCAAAACTGACTCATAGCACCCCCATAGGATAGGGTAGAACTACCCCTATGGGTTTCTGAAGCTGTAACTCTTTAAAAAAAAATCATTTTATTGGGGGCTCGTACAACTCTTATCACAATCCTTCCATCCATCCATTGTGTCAAGCACATTTGTATATTTGTTGCCATCATCATTGTCAAAACATGTGCTTTCTGCTTGAGCCCCTGGTATCAGCTCCTCATTTCCCCCCTCCCTCGCCACTCTCCCCTTCCTCATGAACCCTTGAGAATTTATGAATTATTATTATTTTGTCATATCTTACACTGTCCAACATCTCCCTTCACCCACTTTTCTGTTGTCCGTCCCCCAGGAAGGAGGTTATATGTAGATCTAGGTAATCGGTTCCCCCTTTCCACCCTACCCTCCCTTTGCCCTCCTAGTATTGCCACTCTCAAAGCTGTAACTCTTGACAGGCATAGAAAACCTCATATTTTTCCTGAAGAATGGTTGGTTGTTTTGAACTGCTGACTTTATGGTTAGCAGTTCAAGGCATAACCACTATGCCAGATTATTTTATTTTTCACAAAATTGAAATAACTCTCAAGAGAGAACTTGGATATTAAGGGAACAATTGCAAAAGCAAATAAGCAAACCTCTTTTAACAGTGGTCATCTGCAATGACATTTATAAGTATGAACTGGAAAAACTTGATTAAACATATTTAAATGATAGAAGCAATACAAGTCCCTTTGATTCAATAAATGATGCCAGTGCAAATAGAAAGCTAGTTTTCTTGATACACTCTCCTACCTTACCCCCATAGAGTGAACTGTTTTGAGGTGTATCTGTGTTAGTCTGGGTTGACTAGAGAAACAAATTCATAGACACTCATATGTGTATAAGAAAAAGCTTTACCTCAAAGAGTAATTGTATATTAAGAAAATATCTCAGCCTTGTCCAGATCAAGTCCATAAGTCTAATATTAGCCCATATGCCTGACACCAGTCTATAAATTCTTCTTCAGACTCACACAAAGCATTCCAGGATGCCGAATGCAGGAAGATCACAGCCCAGCGGGTGGAAAGTCTTGTGGATCCAGTGGCAGTGGAACCAGCTCAGCGCTGGTGTGGGTGTCTCCATGTGGCTTCTCCAGATCCAGGGCTCTGGCTCCATCAAGATCCATGTGGCTTGTCAAAAGGAATGTCTCAAAGGGAGAGTGTGTGTCCTGCCTCCAGGGAGTTCCCAGAAACCTCAGAGGAAGGCCATCCCCGGAGGCCTCATTGGCTATGACCTGATTGATAGGCTAGACTCCACCCTTTCCCTCAAGTTGACAGCAGATTATGTTACTGCCAGAGTATCCTACTATATATTTGCACAAATAGCCAGTTCCCTGCTTTAGCTGGCAAGGCTCATTTCCTGCAAGACATCTCCAAGGAGAAGCAAGATGGACCTACCCTGATGTAATCCTGGGTGCTGGCGCAGCCGTGTGGAGACCCCTGCTATTACTGAGATGCTTACATGTTCACTGATTCGGCTTTCCTCCTGCAGACGGCATCACTACGCGTGTTTTGTGAGATGGAGGAGGACTCCGTGGATTGGTGTCGGGCATATGGGTTAATGTTGGACTTGTGGGCTTGGGCAGTACTGGGTTGGGATGTTTTCTTGATGTGCACTTACCCGTTATGTAAAACTCTCTCTTATACATGAGTTTCTGTGGATTTGTTTCTCTAAAGTACCCAGACTAACACAGCACTCTAATTCATCAGCTTAAACATGGATTAATTGTTATAATACAGAAAATGCTTCCTGTTATTCTGTCACTGTATTGTATATATCTTTAACTTGTATGTTGTTAGGGGCCATCGGGTCTATTCTAGTAGTGCCCAGCATGAAGCCCCGCCAAGTCCTGCATCCTCCTCTCAGTTTTAAACTACAGCATGGAGATTTTCAGCTAAGACACCCATGTTTCTGTTTTTTGTCTTTTTAATAAAAATGCTTTCCATTTTTCTGACATCATTGCACTTTCTTTCCCTTACATATAATTTGAGTTTTCTTGCAAGACAAGTATCTGAATCTCAGCCAGTGATTTTCAACCCTTGTTGCACATTAAAATTACCCGGAGAGCTTTAAAAAAATGCAAGTTAGCGAGAGAAGAAGAACAAAGATTGCTAGAGGCTCACTCCGCAGAGATTCAGGTTTAATTGGTCTGGGTGGGGCCTTGGCATCCAGCTCCCCTGGTGACTGGGATATGTAGAAAGTTAGAACTACCCATTGGAGCAATCAAAAGAACTGAGCTGAGGATGCCCTGAAGTGCCTGGTATGTCTTCCTGGTCAGGTCCTCTGCTGAGGTTGCAGCAAGCACGCTGCTCTTCCCACATGTTTGGTCTCCTCAAGAAGTCTGGTGTTCCGGGAAAGTTGTTTCGCGTCAAGTTAGAGGCACTGGCATGATGCAGAGAATGCTGCTCTGCCAGGAATCCCCAGGCCACAGCTGACTGTCTGCTCTGCTGGCTGGGTCTATTCCCAGAGCTGGCTACACACCAGAGATCTGCCCTTGCCTGCAGAGAGGATTCCGTAATAGGGCTTGGGGGACGCCGCACCCAGAACTTGTTTCTGCCCACGTGGGAGAGCCCGGATGGATGCTAGAACTTGCAGGGCCTCTCCTGCATTGTCTCCCTGGGACAACCCCCCAACTGTCTGTCCCTCTAAGCTCTTCACTTGGAGGGAAGCATTTGCATCACTGCCTAGTTTTCCTCTCTTTCGAATGAGGGATAAAGACATCCTGCCCTTTGTTTTTATTTCAGTGGAATAAAGTTACACTCCACAGCCAGTAATTCACAGGTTTAGTCTGTGTTACTGCCGCAGTGGCTTCTGCCTTCTCTAACTACCCCTCCCATTCTCAAAGTTTGGTCAGACGTTTTGAAAGACCGGACAGGTTGTTGGACTTTATTTTGGAGTAAAAGTCGAGGAGTCTATCTGTTCATCTCTCTCTCTCTCTCTCTCTCATCAGTAAGCACAAATTTAAAGCTGACAAAACAGTTACATTATCATGAGTGAGTGAATAGAAAGACAAGCGATGAGAAAGAGTGTGCCCCCTTCCCCCCTTGAACCCAACTTTACTTTCTCGGTACAAAACAATAACTTACATTTTAGATTTTTAGCTTTGATCACTTTACCTACCTTTCAATAAATAATTGCCAAATGTTTTCCGTCTAAGGGAAGAGCGAATGATTAAACAACATTACAGCCAGCAAGGGACAAGGGGAAGCAGCCCTCCCCCCATGGCAGGCGTGCTGTAACGAGTCAGAGGGGGACTTGTGGCGGTCGCGGGACCCTGGGGCATCTGCACTGACCAGAGGGGCAGCGGTGTCCAACAGCTGGAGCTGGGGCGCACGGGCCCGCCCCCTGCCTACGTCACGGGGGCGGGGCGGGCGATCGGAGGCTGGCGGAAGCCGGAGCTGCAGGGGAGCTGGGCCCGGAGCGCCCGAGCCGCGGGGAGCCGGGGGTGACTGCTCGGCGGCAGCTGGGCCCCTCCTGCTCGGGTCGCTGAGTTCGGGAGCGGAGCGGAGCTGAGCAGGGCAAAGATCGGCCCGCTCCCCCGCGACGACAGATGGCTGGCCCGGGAGCGTAACCTGCCTCCGCCCTTCGGATTTATAGTCGGTTCCGTTCTTGCTCCTTGGGACTTGAGATCATCATGCGGTGATGTGCTCCGAGGGAGGCGCTGGTAAGAGTGAATGAGTGAAGCCAGGGACGGTTGCTCTGCCTTTTGCTTCTGTCTCCAGACCCCCTTCTCTCTCGGTGCGTCTTCATGCTCAGGTCCCCAGTTCTGAAGACTTGCGACGGATCCGCTCAGTACTAGGGGTCAGGGCTGTTATTGAACTTGGGGTCGGGGGTGGGGAGAAGGGGAGTAGAGAGTTGCCTGCAAACTCGCAGCCCAGTTTGCAGTGCCTTTGAAAAAGTAAATTACACACACACACACACACACACACACACCTTTGCCATCTCGTTGGGAAATTGTGCAGTGTAAAGCACTTTGGGCCCCGAAGGGGAGGAAGTAAGAGGATGCTGAAAATCAAACCCCGTGAATAAAACACGCGATGACTACTTAGGGAGGAAGAGATGTTTGTGAGAGATGTTTGTGTTGGAGCTTATTCAGAAATAGTTTTCCGAGGGGTGCTGCGTTAAAGTTCGCGTGCTTCCCGGAAAACACTGAACTTTGAAGAATGTACTAGCAGTGGCTTAGGACTCCCATCATCTCACGTTATAAAACTTGTGCTTCACTGTGTGCTGGGCACACACATTGGTGGGTTAGGGAGGCGCTGCTGTTGGAAGGGCCCTTTAGACAGGCTTTTAGTTAGGCGCCTCTTACTCACAAAGGCAGGGCTGGCTCTGTGTTTAGAAAGCGACCAAAAATAAAGCCAGGGTTTCTTCCTGCTTAAAAAAAATTTTTTTTCCCCAAGCAGTCTTTACAAAGAGAACTACTTTATAGTTTTTGATAGGGCTTTTTAGTTACCCATATGATTGATTGTATTATAAAAGCAACTCCGAAGGAGAAATTACATTTTAAATTGAGTTGGGGCACATTTCTGTGAAGAGTCCCATCATTAAAAAAAAAGAAAAGTTGGCTTAAAAATTCATTTTATTGGAAACTCTTACGGATATTATATTAATCTATAATTTAATTAGATCAAGCATAATTGTACAACTGCTGCCACCATCAGTTTTAAAACATTTTCTTTCTTCTTGAACTTTTTTATATCAGCTCCCCTTTATCGACTCCCTCACCCACCCAACCCCTCAGGAACCCTTATAGTATATATATCCGTTCACCTAAAATTCTGTTACTCATTCCCCGCGAGTGGGTCTTTACAGTCATCATTGCTTTCGGTTCCCTCTCTCCCTGCTCTCTTCCTATACCTTCAGGGAATCACCACTCCCGTTACTGTTTCTGAAGGGTTTATCTACCTTGGATTTCATGCATTGAATGATCTTAATTACACAAATGAACATACAAAGGTCTAACAAGATTAATGATGTAAAACTAAGATCATAATAGGAAGGGGAGGAAATATTAAAGAACTAGAGGACAGTTATGTGTTTCATCAGTGCTATACTGCACCCTGGCTATATCATCTCTTCCACGTGGCCCCTCTGTGAAGGACTGTCCAATTATCTCACAGGTGGGTTTTGGGTTTCTACTTTGCCTATGCTCCTTCATGTCAATTTGATTGCTTGTTTTTGAACTCCTTATATCTATTCCCGTCAACATGTAATGATCACATAGGCTGGTGTGTGCCTCTTCCATGTGGGCTTTGTTACTTCCCTGCTAGATGACCTCGTGTTTAACTTCAAACCTTTAAGACCCCCAAAACTATCTTTTAATAGCAGGGCACCATCAGCTTTCTTCACCACATTTGTCATTTTGTCTTCAGGGATCGTGTTAGGAAGGTGACTATCATACATTTCCATATTTTTAGAATAAATCGTTCTTGTGGTGAGGTAAGAATTAAGTAGAGACCCAAAGTCCATCTGCCTCCCTATTGTATTTACACACACACACAGAAAATTACACTTGTCTTTATATGGTTATATATTCATATATACATTTCTATATTTATACCTATAATTTTTACATTTTTGTTCTTTCCTCATTTTCTTTTTGCTTTCCTCTGTTGACTTGTTAACATCACAAATACAACACATGATTATTGTAACAGTGAAACTCATTGAGCATTCCAGGTGAACCATCCCTCCAATACACCCCAGGAGCTAATAACTACCCTTCCCTATTCACTCTAGTCCCATTGAAAATTCACATCAGAGAACTACCTTGAGATAATCTCTTTCTCTCTCTCTAAATGAGACTGTGTTGTCCATACTGAAGAGGAACTGGGCACCATTCAAAAAGTTTTAGGGAGCTTACGTTATAACATTGCTGCAGCTAATGTCACATTTGTTAAATTGTGTGAGGAAGCAGGAGAATCCAAACTATCACAGGATCCAGGCCTTTGGCCTTGAAGTAGCAAGAACGGCATTTTTTCACCACAGTTATTTAATTAATAGGAAATTGAATCCTATCATTTTCTCCGATGTTATCAATAAAATGAAGGAAAAGGCACCAGATTCGATTGTAATATAAAACAGAATACAAAAAGCTGCTGTCTATTAGACAACTGTACTTCTTAGAATCAATTTTTGAAATTTAGCCTTAAAATGATCTCCACATTCAAGATTTGGTTGCTGTTTGACATGTTTCCATTTACTGTTATATGTAGTCGGAAGTAGTCTTTAAAATGATGTGACATAAAAGAAATGCTACCAACGAAGTGGTGTGGTGGGTTACGCGTTGGACCCCTAACCACAATGCATTGGAAGAAGGAGGCTTCCTGCCGCAGGAAAGAGCTCCGGTCTCCAGAACCAGCGGTGGGAGTTCTACTCTGCCTTCCGGGCTCACTCTGAGTTGGGATCAACTCCATGGCAGTGAGTTTGAGTTGAAGGAGGCGGAAGGTGATTTTAGGATTCTTAAACCAACTGGTGTAGTGGGGTTATGACTTGGGCTGCTAGCCACAAGGTCAGAAGCTCGGACCCACCTGCCATGTGGTGTCAAAAAATCATTCCATGATGATTTACAATCTTGGGAACCATGGGGAGTGGTTCTGCTTTGCTATGTGGGCTTGGTCTGAGTCAGAATGAACTCAGTGACAGTTGTTTGCTTTGTTTTCTAAATAAATCACAATTAGTTAAGATATATTTACTTATTAATTTTTTAAAAGTCATTTTATTGGGGGCTAATTCAACTCATCACAATCCATACATACATCAATTGTATAAAGCACATTTGTACATTTGTTACCCTCATTCTTCTTCTTTTTTTAAATTATTTTATTGAGGGCTCATACAGTTCTTATCGCAGTCCATACATACGTCCATTGAGTCAAGCACATATGTATACCTGTTGCCCTCATCAATCTCAAAACATTTGCCCTCTACTTTAGCCCTCAATA